GTTAGACCAGCATTTAGATACTTGGCAAGTGTATTAAGCACATGACTGTCTTCCATTGAGACATAGTCTTTGTTTTTTCTCTGTTTCTAATTGTTTTATATTTATTGGAACCTTTCAATCCAAGATCCCCAAACACACGATATCCCGCTTTATTACACTGGGGGGATATTGATCTAATACCATAAAAGATGTTCTTTGTGAACTTCCTGACAGATGTGATCAAGCCAGGAGCGTACATGTCGTCGATGTTTATGTTGAATCATGCTGTCCGCGAGGTTTATGTTGAATCATGCTGTCCGCAAGGTTTATGTTGAATAATGCTGTCTGCGAGGTTTATGATGAACAATGCTGTCCGCGAGGTTTATGTTAAATAATGCTGGCCGCGAGGTTTATGATGAATATTTCTGAGAATATGATTGAAGTCGGCATACTACTCTTTGGTAACAAAAGTGTATCGTGTTACACGTTAACATACTCAGCTCAAATTTAAATAATAAAATTCGCAGTATTTTAGTTTTGTTTGATTTTGAGGAATATAAAAACTAAACGTATAAAAACTTCCAGATGTATTTTAAATGAAATTTATCACATTGTGGAGACCGGAGTCCGACTTTTGGGATTCATAAGTTCAGCATTATATAATTTACAAATTCATTGCCTAATTTAATCGTAACATATTAAAACCTCCTAACTACGTGGCGCCCCCGCAACCTTTCCACATTTCGATTTGGGATAAGGCACTAATGAAACACATATTTATCCCTTTTTAATGGTAATGAAGTGGGTCCTTACGTTAGTTCATACGGTCATGGTGAACGTTCGCCTCAACTAAGGGTGATAACACAGACAGGACTGCGAAGAGAACTTGTGTGCTGAAGCAACGAAAATACTACCGCCCTCTCACACCTGTTCAAGGACTATGCAAAAATAGAGTTTTTGACTTTACCATGCCCACGCAAAAAAAAAATATAGATATTTATCCCCACCCGTAGCGATAAACCGATTGTACCCCCACTCCTTAGTCCTGATGGCACGTTATTAAGCAATACAATGCTTTTAATTTGGGGTACTATAAATTGGGGTGGAATGGGATTTAATATCTGGTCAACGCAATATTTCGGTCATTCTAAGACAAACAGGTATTTTTTATTACGTTTGCAATGGTAGGAGCCACGGTCGCTGCTCCGTGTTAGTAGTGCAGGACCGTGGTCCGGGCAAGGTACAATTTATAGTTGTTCGGATGGTACGAAAAACCGAGGTACCGTGTACATATTGGCGTGCACGTAAAAGATCCCTTGAAATTCGATGTAAGAGTTGGCCGTGGCGCCACTGACCGGGCCAAATTCCCTCACCGCACACGGTATAGCGTATGCCCGTCTTTATTAGCCCAGTCGAAGCAGAACAGTAGGACATTAAACCCCATTTCATTTCATTTACGTTCGCATTGCGAGGTAGCAGAATTTTGCCAAATATCTAAACGGATATGTCTGGTTTTCGTCTTTCAAAACAGTCACCATCCCTGACAAGTGGTAGCCGGGGCTGAAAAATCTCGAACAGTTCTATGTTCCGCGCTCATCTACCACGTCCCGTGCTAAAAATGGGATTATTATGCTATAATGAGACCATTAATAGTTGGGCGGAGAATTGCTTTTAAGTCTACATTTATGTCACGCACACCTGGAATATAGATTGCAAAAAAATGCTACATGGCAGTGAGTAAGTTGGCTTCGATGTGATTATACTGTGTGATATGGTATAATAGGCTTCCACGTACAGATTATATCGGCTATTCAGCTTAACTGTAAATGCGTTATCAGTAGTCTATGGTACCTAACATGCCACAAACCAGTAAAGCAAAACTTGTATCATACCACAACATCTCTTTTATTGAACACGCTTCATAATTATGGAATATTATTCCTATTAATTTACGCAGTAACCTAGTTTTTACATGTTTAAGAAAAAGGTGAAATTGCATATATTTTTACAGGCTTCCACTTGGTATTCATGATATTCATTTACTTAATTTGCTATGTTGTATTTTACGATGTGTATGTTTTGTGTTTATCATTTATCTTTAAAGAGGAATTGTGTAAGAGCTAAATCTGGATATTGCAGGTCTTTGTTTTTGGACATTTATTAATATGACACGCTTATAATCAACTCTCTAGGCCGAGATTTAAATGTATTTAAAAATGCGTGAGATTAAAAATTTAATGATAAAATCAATCTGATTAAAATACAGATCTAGATTTCGTTCGTTTTTTTTTATACTTTTGATGGCCTACACTACATGAAGATGTGACAAGTTGTACTTGAAGGTCGTGTCAGGGGTCGTACGAGTGGCTTTTGACCCTATGACGTCAGATATTGATTAATCTTACATAATTCGACCACTCAAATATTTCGTTGAAACGCTTAATTTTGTGTCTTACAAACCACGAAAACACCCTCTATTGATTCCTGGGGTTTGTGTGGCCGAATAGCTTACCGCGTACGCTATATATCGTTAGGTCAAGTTGCATGATTTTGATCCCACACTTGGACTATTAGTCAGCCCCGAAAAGATCTAGTTTGTGTCGAGTGGACGTTATCCCCCCACCACACCTCTCTCCCCCCTCTCTCTCTCTTTCTCTCTCTCTGGAAATGGACCTTTTCTAATAGCAAATCAATAAAAAAGATAAGCGAATAAAAATTACAACAGCATTATAATATAATTTTCCCTTTAAAACCCTCTCGGTTATAGTCACAAAGCTCAATCGCTTTATTCATGAATGCCAAACCTCCAAAAAACATTTCAGCGTATTTATTGATTAAGGTCAACCAACACTTATAGCATTGATTTTAGCTGACAAAAAGGCAACCTTCTTAATACAGTCTAGTTTATGTTGGTACGAGACACCTGGCTACGACTCCCACTCCCACCCTCTCTCTCTCTCTCTCCTAACTTATTGAAATAAAATGGAAGCATATGTTACTCCCGAAAAGACCTATTTTATGCCGAGTGGAGGTTAAACACCGTCTCTCTCGCTCTCTCTCTCTCTCTCTGAGTGAAATAGGTAGACCGATGTATAATATAGCTGCATATGGTTTCTAAGCACATAGTTCGGATTTATTTCGTCTACTTCTAGAAAGTAACAAATTAGTAATAAACCACGTTTTCCTCTAGACAGACCGTGTATTTTATTTAATCATTCTATCTGACTGGCAGCTATCTTCCACAAACCTCGTGGAGCAACTCATTGAGAAATTGACTTATCTCTAGTTTGCATGTCACTAATAGAATTCAAGGTCTAATCGTGGACCGCATGTATTACACATTTAATAAAGAACTATTGCTGTACTTAATTACTGAATGGGAAGATGCTTGGGGTGGGGTGTGGTAGGGTGCTTGGGGGCTTTTGTTCAGACCCCACGGTATTGAGCATGATTGTGTTAGCGCGTGACGATCGCTGTAGACAAGTCTGAAGTCAAGGCTAAATCTACACAGACAATTCCCAGGAATAAACAAGAAAAATTAAATTAAGTGAATGGATTCGGGGTAAACCGTATGTCGTTAAGCCACTGAATTTGTCATTATATTTCATGACCTATTTGTCTGACGATTTCTTTTTTCTTTTTTTTTTTTCCTTTTTTTTAATTTTAGCGAAATAAACCCACAAACCGTGCTCGAAATTTGCTATTTACTGTTTTGAAATTGGATAGTGTTCTTCCTTCCCATCAAGTATTGAAATAGGCGATTCAAAAATGATTAATTCTTTTATGCTTAATAATCCATCAAAAACTCTGACCTGTAGAGTGCTTACAAGATATTGTGGACGGACAACGAACCGGCGGATAAAGGTGACGACATAGATGGACAAGAATATAATTCCTAAGTCGGTCTGCTAAAGAAAAAGTTGTGTGGTCAGTAATCTCTGTTTCCATTAGAGAGCTGGCGTCTTAAATCGCAGACATCCGCGGTCGCGCATTTAGAGGGATTTTAAGTGTAAATCTTCAAATCAGATCATTTATTACGTCTGATCAATTAGCATGGTTCGGTTTTCACAGACTGATAACCTATGCTTTTAAGGTCATTATGAAATTACTTTAGATACCCGTATGAATAATATAACTACTGTATATCCATCTATGATAAATGTAGTCTTTGCCAAATGCTCTAGAATCGGGATTTTCTTTAACTTCCAAGATGAAGATATTTGTGGTCGCAAATGTGTACCATATAATGTAGCAGGATGTTGAACCACGGTGTTCAATTGTTTAAAAGGGAATACTATAGATTGAGCTGAACTGGTAAAACAACAAATTTCCCGTTCAATTTTCCATAATAACCTTCGGATTGAAGCCAGGTATTGGCTACATAATAACAATTGCATACTCTTAGAAACTCGGCTGACCGACTATCCAGAATACAAATCATCCAACTCCACAATTTCGACAAATTGGGACGATAAAGCCAACCACTACGTAAAATGTACAGTCCTTGCGATCATAGTGAGAATTTAAAAACGAAACGAAGTTTAAATCTATAACCATATAAATATTTGAAAATAAAAGCAAAATATATACATCTTAATCTTATAGATGCATTATGTCAGATTTAGATAAAACTGGCTGTTCTGGCTGTATATATACTAGTTCAAAAATAGATAATGAAAATAAATATATTGAAAATTTTAGTCAAATTACTTTTCTCTGAGCAAAGTTATGAACTTTTGACAAGAACTAGCGTAAAACGAAGTCTTGACGAAACGTTTAACGAAGATATATCAGGCATTGTCTGATCACTTGATATCTCCGCCATCCGATGGTCTAGAGAGTTGATTATGTTCTTGACATGTCAATAAATGTCCATAATAATAATTTATATAACATTGGAAACCAGAAAAAGACTAAAATAGACAGCTTTAGCTCTTACATGATGCATCTTTAAAAACGTCTTTCTAGGATTTCTCATTATATATAAGATGGCGTGAGGTGATTTAAGCTATATAACTTACCTATGGATATCATTCCTATAGGCAATGTTAATAACAATCCTAAAAACAAGGTGACTAAACCTGAAACAAATAAGGTTGAATATGGATTATAATAGACTGCTGTGTTTAATGTTTTAAAAAGGACAAGCCATTTGTAGTATTAAATAACAAATTATTTTTCTAATAGAAAGTTAATGTAATTTCAAAATTATATAAACCACGAAATACCACCCAGTGTTTAATATAATGGATTCTGTCAGTCGGTAACAATTACTGTTTTTCTTTCCTACTTCTCGGTTGGCATTGACATTCCGATCTGTTCTGCCTCAGACCACCGGAGTGCTTAAGCTGCTTTCTCGGGTAGGCCGAGGTTAGAGGCTGGATGACATAGCCCTGTATTCTCAGAAGATTTTGTACCTCCCAGTGTCCGTTATGTTTTTATTTGTCCGCATGCAACAGGCAAGTAGGACATATAATTTTTATTTTCGCTTCATCTACTATAGCTTCTGTCTTGGGAATTCTATCTCCCTTTCTCCCCATTACTTGCGTGTATGGGTCTTTAGCTGTGAGAGGTAACCGCAGCACCCGGATAAAACCCAAGAGGTTCGACAGGCGACCCTACTACTGGTCACGCACAAGCGTAATGGACTTGATTCAATGACAGACCTTATGATTAAAAAAATATGTTATAAACTCGATACTCTACAAACATGCGGGAGATTCACGAGATGTTTCTCTTAACTTTTTTAGAGCTTCGGGTCACGCAATGATTATCAATAAAAAGATCATTAATATAATTGTTCTTTTCTAGAAAAAAGAGTCTATTGAGCAGCATTATTAAATGAAATCTAAGAGTAGGAAACTCACCAGGCTGTCCTGAGTATTGCACATGTTTAATGTATCTTGGGGAGTACCTCATTTTTTTTTAAATAGATTCACAGTTTCATCAATGCATTAGGACATTTAGCAAAGATGCTACTTTGATAGATAACGGGAAACTGCTTAACAAAATCATTGGCCGAGAAAGTTCATCGGGATTTTTCCCTTGTCAGTGGTCTAGGGCCTGACAAGGACAGCTGTCTAGTCATTCGGATCAGACGAAAAACCAAGGTCCCGTGTATACATTGGCGTGCACGTAAAAGATCCCTTGGCAGTTGAAATTCGATATAAGAGTAGGCCATAGTGCCGCTGCCCGGGCAAAATTTCCCTCATAGCACACTGTATGGCGTATGCCCGTCTTCATTAGCCCAGTCGGGGCAGAACAGTAGGACGTTAAACCCCATTTCATTTCATTTTCATTTCATTTGCTTACCAAAACATAGAAAGAACAAACACTACTTACAGGTATGGCAAAGAATGTCAGAGGCTCGGCATACAAAATCACAAGAACTTTCAGCATCTTTACTAGCTTCCTGGAGATGTATCCATATTTCCGTATTATGGTTACTGTAATCTGTGGACGGAGCATCCGAATGACCCAATGAAGTTTGGTAGAGTTGTCGCCCTTCGTTGAATGTCTGCAAATAAATAACAAGTTCTAGCCTGAATGTGTCAGAAATGCTTGGTTATCTGACAAGAATGTCACAAAATCATTGCCACATTAATTATTTCAACGATAAAACATCATAGAAATGTTACCAAATCAACTGGGCAGTAAAACCCCTACGCGCACACCGGAAGCAAGCGGTAACCGGCCAACTAGAGATCGAAGAGCGACCCAATGGGTTCTGGGATAGGTTACTCTAATTTACGGAGCCCCTTAAGTGCACGATTTCACTCTTATATAAGTATTTCGTTTAAACAATCCGCTAAAAATTGTAGCCTCTATCGCGTTCACAAAGTTTTCGGAAGAAAGAAAGGGGTAGGGCTCGTGTGTAACTCTGTATGGCAAGGTTGTGGAGGAATGCTGACCAATCTGATTAAAAAACAGATCTATATTTCGTTTCGTTTTTTTTTATACTTTCGATGAAACGGTCTGTTACGGCAAGCTTTAGGTGTGTTTTGCACGGAACTGTGACATCAATACTGATTGGTTAATCAAATGTCCGACGTCATAGGGTCAAAAGCTGCTCGTATGACCTCTGACGCGACCTATCGTTACAACCGGTCAGATCTTCATGTACTGTAGTGTAGGCCATCGAAAGTATAAAAAACGAAACGAAATATTGATCTGTATTTTAATCAGATTGAGGTTACTCCTCAGTTTGTTTCTTCATAAATTGGTGTGAAGCTTGGGGTTAATAAGAGGACGAACCCTGTCGTTTCCGCAACCTTCCGATCTAACCCTAATCGACCGGACGAAGAAATCCTCAAATTACTCAACATATGTGTGAGGAGGAATGACTTCGCTTTCAACGATCAAGTATACCTCCAGTCTTCCGGAACTGCGATGGGAAAACGATTTGCCCCGAGTTATGCAAATCTCTTCATGGCGAAGTGGGAAAGGGACGCTTTGCCACTCTGCCCATTAAAACCAGATTTCTATGGACGTTTTTTAGATGAAGTTTTCATAGTCTGGACGTACACACTAGACGAATTTTGGGCGTTTTTCAACATCCTAAACAATCATCATCCATCTGTCAAGTTAACCGCAAATGTAAGTCATAACAGCATAGATTCCCTTGACACTACCGTTTTTAAAAAGTAGCAACACCAAAATCACAGGCCAACTGGAAACTAAAGTATTTTTCAAAGGAACACCGACACACGTCAATTATTGTTCAAAAGCTCCTTTGACCCAAAACATACGTTCTCTGGCATCATAAAATCTCAGATTCTCCGTTCTCATAGGATATGTTCTCAGAAGACCGACTTTGATTCAGCATGTACATTGGTATTTAGCAAACTAAGAGAAAGGGGATTATCCTCGAATAAAATATTACATATAAATTAAAGTAGACAAAGTAATTCTATAGTTTATGGTAGATAAATGCAAATAAATAAAAAATACACCCAGTTAAAATATCAACCACTTTTACTTCTTCATTATAATATACATCAAATCATAGGCTAGCTGTCTGCTCTTAATTAAGCGTCTTATATATATAATTATTTTATAACACTAAATAAGCGTACCCTAAAGAAATCCAAAAGACATCCCTTTGCCAGATCTCTTAATGTCAGTCATGTAAGTTATACAAGACGAAATGTAATGAATGTTGTTTAATGTCTTGGAAAAAGAAATCACTAGCAGGAATCTAGGGTTTCATTTAGTATTAAGACTTGTGCTTAAACAACCATGCACAAATATATTTCATTTAAAGTGGATGTCATATATTTTGAGGCAAAACAATTCATCTGGGGAGAACTGAGCAGGAGCCTATGCGTCCAACAGGCTCGCAAGATCCTAAAAATGATAATGTTCTCACTTAGTTTGGGGACCCTGTCCTTAACGTACGTGGGGGGGGGGGGCGAATGGTTAGCACATGAGCGCGGTATCATAAGGTCTGTCATTGAGTCTACTTGCGTGGTTTCGGTTCCCCAGTTGTACGTGACAAGGAGTAGGGTCGCCTGTCAGACCTCGTGGGTTTTCTCCGGTTCCTCCGGTTTCCTCCCACTGCCACAAATCCCTACGCGCAAACGAATTATTGAAATAAAATTAAAACCATGTGTTACTTTACGCCGTTTTTGATAATTGATGTGTAAAGCTATCTTTGGAGGTTTTGTACTTGGAAGATGCTAATTGTAAGCCGGTTGGAGAGGTTCGGGAATTTCCGGACTCCACAATGTCCGCTTTATGTAAATGAGTATTTGGGGGAATACTAATCCTAACCCTTTTAAGAGGGGTAAAAGGTAAATTGGATCCAAGTTCAGTCTTCTAAAAACTATACGTCCAGCCGTCCGGAACTGTGATGTGAAGACGATTTACCCCGAGTTAAGCAAATCTCTTCATGACGGAGTGGGAAGGGAAGAGTTCTGCCACCCTGCCCCTTAAAACCAGATTTCTATGGAAGTTTTTTAGATGAAGTTTTCATAGTCTGGACTTACACACTAGATGAACTTTGGACATTTTCCAACATTCTGAATAATCATCATTCATCTGTCAAATTAACCGCAAATGTAAGTCATAACAGCATAGATTTCCTGGACACCACCGTTTTTAAAAGTAGCAACACCAAAAACACTAAAGTATTTTTCAAAGAAACCGACACACATCAAATACTGCTCAAAAGCTACTTTCATTCAGAAAATACGTTGTCTGGCATCATAAAATCTCAGATTCTCCGTTTCCATAGGCTATGTACTAAGAAGACCGACTGGTAGCAAACTAAGAGAAAGGGGATACTCCAAACGCTATCCCCAAAGTATAAAAAACAATACTCTGGATGAACTTGCCGCTAAAGAAACAAACAATATACAGCTAGCAGTTAAAAGAAAACTTGTGGCCATCCCAGATGTCAAACATGCAAAATCATAAACATATCCGACCAGTTTTATAACAAAACATCTGGCACCCAATTTCCAATATTAGACCAACTTTCATGCAGCAGTTTAAACACAATTTATCTAATTTCATGAAGACAATACGTAGAGGAGACCAAAAATGCACTTCGGAAAAGAATTAAAGGTCACCGGTCAGACTTAGTCAGTCACCAAAAAAGACAAACCGGTCTCAATTCACTTCAGCCAACCAAATCGGCCTTCAATTAGCATCTCCCTTTGTACTTAGGATATACTATAGAAAAAGAACGGGAGCCCAGGGGGTTAACCTAGCTGAAAAGTGTACCAATTTTCTCCTATATAGTATCAATGCATGTATATCTGGTATCATCAGATTGTAAGTCTGCCGGGTTTCTGGTGGTGGGTGTGGTATTCCACGCCCAAAATGCCATGCCCCCCAACTAGGCTAGATTAGCTCAAAAGTGTACCACATGAAAATCGTACAGCAGTGTACCGTACATCTTCAGGTGTTACAAAAACACTCTAACAGACATTTCTAGTGGTGGGTTACCCCTGACAGAGCTATGTAATTGTCAGACATTTGTAGTGGTAGAGTATCCCTGACAAGAGTTATCTAATTTCAAGTCCACAGCTAGGCTAGATTAGTTGAAATCTGTACCACCTAAAACAGCTTTGGAGTTGTTCAGTACCACTACAGGAATCATGAATGGCCTCTGCCAGACAGTTTGTGCGGTGGGTTATCCATGAAGATGTACGGTACACTGCTGTACGATTTTCATGTGGTACACTTTTGAGCTAATCTAGTTGGGGGGCATGGCATTTTGGGCGTGGAATACCACACCCACCACCGGAAACCCGGCAGACTTACATTCTGATGATACCAGATATACATGCATTGATAACATATAGAACAAATTGGTACACTTTTCAGCTAGGTTGGCCCCCTGGGTTCCTGGTCTAAAAGCATCATCTACAGTCAGTTTTTCAAATATTTTCTGGCGCGCGGGGGAAGAGAACCAATGATACTTAACGACTTTTTTGAAGCCATATCTACTCTAATATAAATGCTTTTTATGTTTTTAATATTCGGTGGTATGTTGCTTTAGATCTTATCCACATTTTGTCGACTTGACGAATATGATTACAACGGAATAAAACGGACGAATTTTATATCTCAATACAACATTTCTGTCGTTCCAAAGTTAAAACCATTTTCATTGCCCTCTACTTTATTTTAAGTGATATAATTAAAACTACGGTCATCAGAAACTCAATCACAATTTTTAAATGACTAAGCAGAACATTTTTTAATATTTTTGTTACAGATTCTTGACATACTAATCAGTATTTCAAGCGCCATTTCAAATTATTTTTAAAACAATAATAAGTTAATATGGAGATATATTATATTAAGCATACCTTTTTTTCGTCCATACTACTTGACGTTACATTTTAAGATAACATTGTTTATAACAAACGATCGATTTTTAACACAGATTTCATTACAGAGTCAACCATCTGGTCCGCCATGTTAGCAATAATCAATTTCATGACGTACTCAACGAACTTATATTATTATTCACATTGAAAATGTATAAAGACTTGTCATAAAAACGACTTTTTATGTCCATTTTCTTGAAAGGCAGAAACGATTATAAAATTTCTGTCCAATTGAAAACATGTATTAGCTGTGTAATACATATGTTCAATTTGACTTTTTTGATGTCTTTGCCAATAAGTGACAATTTATTATTATAGGGTCGTAAAAGAACTATAAATTATGTATATTAACAGTATACGCATATGTATGCCCGTTTCTTTTGCGAATAATTTATGACAACATTAAAACATTTTATCTAAGAATATGGGTTCTTCTAATGGACTGGAAAAATAACACAGGAGTTTAGGAGACCATTTCTTTAAGAGGGGTGAGTAGCAACATCATATGACCATCATATGAATATTATTAAGTGGGGAGTGTTGCATCGCAATAACGTACAAATAACCGGTTGTGGTGGGGATGTTCATACACCCGGCAATTAATAAAATAACACCATTCTCTCAAATTAACCATAAATTAGTAACCGTTACCAATTTTAAAAACACAAAGTCAATG